ACTTGACGACTACGTGGCAATTCCAATGTTTTTACAAATCTTTAGGCAATGTTAGCCTTTTAATAATTTTGTTGATTACGTGGAATAATAAATTCAATTATCTATATATACATGTATGTATAAATATTTATATCTAAATAAGCCATCTCTCACTGGTGGTTTAGTGGAGTTGATCTGTGTATGTGCGTTCCCCTGAATGAATAGATAAAGCATGATTACATTTCCGATAATTTACCCTACGTTTAATTTTTTATGAAGATATATACTTGTAAATGACACAAGCCATCTTTTTGCAAGAACGTAAGTTTATGACCATTTATTTTCCTTTAAGGCAGTGGTTCTCAACCCAGTCTCCAAGGACCCCTGAACTGTCCAGGATTTAGGGATTACCCTGCTGTGTCTAAATCCTGGACTAAATCCTGGACTGGTAGGGGGTCCTTGAGCACTGGTTTGAGAACCCCTGCCTTAAGGGTTCGATTCTCTGACCTATTTTACATACAGTACATAATTTGAAGTGTCTTTTCATTTATGTTTCTACACTGAGCCTTCCTCTCCCTCTCCGCACCTTATTCCTGAGTTACTGATCCTCTTCCTGTTTCCTACAATGTAATAGATGTGATTATGTAAATAACAAATTAAATCACTTAATGTATCTCCTTCACTTCCAAAAAGGCTGGCGAACATTTCCAGCTATGTTTTCCAGTTGGATGAATGTGATACAGGGGCAATGAAGGATCTCTAATTACTTGTCTTATTTTTAAGACATTCTGAAGACTGTCTAATCTAACCACTTCATGAATCAGCAAGTGACAATAGCCCAAATTTATTAAAGCCCCTGTGATATAAATCTTTAAGGACAGCTGTGGCGTTCAGTATCGTTTTATTTTTCTGAGTGAAAGTGCATCCTTAATAGGATTTAATTATTTTTATTTTTTACATTTATTTTTTGCTCTTGTCACAGATTAATTAGAATTTAATCAACTTAGCCCTACGAATGCATGTGAATCATTTCTGCTTGATACACTACACTATTCACTAAGCATGGAATTATAGAAAATTGAAAACAAAAGTGCAACATATTAGCTAAAATAGCTGATTTGGAAATTTCTCCTGCCCGCTGTAGTCACTGCTTGGCTAATTTGGCTAACTGCTTGGCTGTTCCGCAGCGCAGGTAAGCAAAACAAACACTGAAAGCTAACAAAACATGATTAAAATACCATAACAGTAGTTGAAGAGGGTCCTACCCAAAAGAGCTTAAAGTCTACAAATGTAGCCTTTCTTCCACTAACCTCCATTTGTTGTTTAGTGAATACATTTCCCGTACTGAAGAGAATTAAAAAACAGATTGCATACCGTAATTTAGGCACACAGACAAACGAGGTTAGCTGTGGTGGAGAATTCTTCCACGTCAACTATTTAAGCTTCAATTTTGGATTTCAAATCACTATCATTTTGTGTTTATTGTAAGCCATACAGTGTTCACATCATGAATTATGGCAATGGTGGAAAAAATAAAATGAAAACTAAAGCTGTTAAAAAAAAAGAAAAAGGTATACAGCACACTGTTCACATTGGCAGGTCAAAGCAATTGTAAGTCGAAATCAGGTGACAAATAAATGCTTCATGGACAGTGCTTTAAAAGGAGTAAAGTAATACTAATTTAGCTATAAAAGAAAAAAAGGGTTTTGTATTTGCGTTACAGGACAATGATGGATCGCTTACAGCCTCTACAAAAATAAATTTTTATGATTCTCCAAAAGGAACATAAATTTGGCTGCACAACTGCATACTGATGTCTTGACATGCCCACATTTGGCCCCTATTTCAAGATCCGTTCTCAGAAGCAAATCTGAACAGACATTCGTAATCTACTCTCAAAGGTATGGTCGCATTATCATGAAGTACTTTGTTACAGCATTTTAAAGGCTATGTTACTATACTGTATTTCATACTGTGAGTAGTCCCTTCATAAACCCTGCCTATAATGGGAGACATATGTTTGTGTTAGAAAGCAGAGGACTCACACGATTGGAGTGAATCTGGTGTATTTCCATGATAAATTATTCTGTCTGGGTTATATTGTTTCTTGTTACTCCTCTCACGCCTCATCCCTCTGGAAATCACTACAATGGCTACTTGTACCATTTATAATTCGATTTAAGATGCTAATACCCGTGTATAAAGCTTGACCTATGATTACATTTCCCCTTTATTCATATTATCGGTTTCTAGTCTCTGTCTGTGATCTTTTCTCCTCTATTTGTGCTTACAATGCTATTCTCCTCAACATTATTTCTTAAAGGTAGCTCCATTCGTATGGAACAGCCCAGGTGCTCTGTAGATAGACATGGCATTCAGCGCTAGGCTCCGTCCCCTCAGGTAGATCTCACCCCTCTCATTAGGCCCTGCGGCAGAGGGGGGGCCAATAAAGGGTGTGGTCTACATAAATGGGGAGGAGCCTGTTGCATACACAAAGAGTACCTGGGCAGTTCGTACCCCACCAAGATTGGCCATCCCATTTCCCTAGTATTTAATCAGTGAAAAAGTTTCTTAAAAGTCTTTAAAGTCCTCATATCAAGTAGGTCTATAGCCTCCATAGTTAATTCTCATTCCTTAAAGCAGCTCTGTTACTTTGCAGATTCTGTTTTTAAACTAACATTTTTTGTTTCTCTATTTCTTTTTTTGTTTATTTTTATTATTTTTTGTTAATTTGCCTTAGTTTTTTAGTTATACATAAGAAGATGTAGAGTCATTTTTTTTTCTCATTGAGAGCATGATCTTTGGCAAATCCTGGCAATGGGACATTGTAGGTACTGTGTCTGCTTCATCTCAATAAAGTGGTTATAGTGTCTAAAGCCCCTTGGTACCATCATTTCATGCAGCATTTAACAGTTGTTTCATGTTTTTAATGCTTTAATAATATATCATACATGTGCTGCTTTGGCTAATGAGGAAGAACTAGCCTGAGCAGTAACGGGAAGCTGTGAATCCTGCTGAAAGTCTTTTATCAACTGAAACGTTTATGTAATGTAACTGTACTCACAATAAATATAAAAATTTGTTTGAAAAGTCCAGTGAGAGCTCTCCTTTGTGATCATTATCTATTACATCTTTTTTGATATTTTGATATTCTCAATATATAAAAAAAATCTAAATATTAAAATCTTGTTTCATATTATACTATTCTCAATAAATAATAAAAATCTAAATATTAAAATCTTTTTTGATATTTTAATATTCTCAATATATAAAAAAAATCTAAATATTAAAATATTTTTCAAAATATTAAGCCATTTGAAAAATGTATCTAAAAGTATAATATCAAGGTCATAATGAGTTTCTTCACAATCCTCTTCAGTATTTCATTTTCCAACTCTACTGCATTCCCACACACTCACCCGATCCCATCCCCCACGTTTGCTCTTCGTTGCTTCTTCTTAATTATTAACTTGTTTGAGCGGGGTCTTCAATAACCTCTTCTTTCCTATTAACATGATTTTCTTTTTAGACTTCCATGTTAACACTGTAAACCACTGCAGAATATGGTATATAAATGCCATAACAATTACAAATTATTATTTCATTTTATACAAATGAGCAAATATTGGTCAATGTTTCACTCTGAACAAATACTTTTTTTTTTAGAATCGCACAGGTGCAGAAAGGTGCCAGGTGTAACGGAGATAAAAGAAGCAGGGGTCCGTTGCTAAGCAACAATCCACCATGAAGCACAAACAATCTAGTATGAATGCATCGCACAGCTGTTCTAAGACACATGCAATGAAAACAAAACCAATGTGAGTGAAACAAGGTATCAATTACACGACTGGAGAGAAATTAGGGGTAAGGTATGTAAAACAAGATTGAAGGATACACAGTAATACAAACAAAATAATCAGTAAAAATATATTGATATGTATGAAAAATACTGAATGTAGTAGTCACAGAACATATTGTATGAAACGGAAAGGTATAGCGACAAGCTATATGTATTATATATTAAAAGGTCATTTGTGTAATCCAATATATAGTTACTTAGAAAAATATAACTGTCAATGTATAGTGATAGAACTAATCGCATAACTTTCAGCATAACACCATCACTTACGTAAGAAACCATTTAAGAGGTTATTTATAATCAAAATAATCAATCCATGTAGTCAAATGGAATCCAAATCGTCGATACAAAATGTCTGTCAACATAGAAATGTGTGAACGTGGATTCTGCCCCGGCTGAAAACTCCATATGGTGAATGTCCATAAACATTAGGATTGAACCTACCAGGAGAAAATGACGGCCGTAGGAATATATATGCACCGCAGTGCTGTACAACGGATATACCAAAAAAATGTAATACATTGAAACCAATAATATAAGAAATAAGAGATGAGGCGGCACACAATTACACTATATGGGATTAGGGCCATTTAGTTACTAAATTAGAGGTTGCGTCATTGACCCGCTGGGATGGGTTTTTAAAGGATTTACATTTTGCCTTCTAGTCAGCTCATTTTAAAAGTTCCCAGGTATAAAAATGACTAAAATGTACATTGTCACATCAGGCAGAAGTAAAGCAAGCTATTTGACTACAATTTGCTCGTACAGAACCATGCCCATTATAATAGAATTATATTACAAGTACCCTTTACCTATTTGGTGATTGATTTCTATTCTTGTGAATTTGCTGAGCACAGATTTTGTATGTGTTCTAGCTCAAGAATTCACAAAGTTATTTAACCATTTGCTGGCTCGTTTGTGGCTTCTTTTATTTTTTGACAATCTCGTTTTTATGAATATACAGAAATAACAATCAGACTATAATAGAAGTGTTGTACAATCTAATGGCACCTCAGGTGAATTTTCAACATTTCCCAAACACTAATGAAGATGCTCTCTGCTACTTGGCTTTACAAGAAGACAATGTAGTCAGCTTGTATGTGTGCAGCCTGATTTTGTGTCAGGAATTGTCGCGTCAGTAATTGTCGCCATAGGGTGCCATGAAGATCTATTTGCGTCGCTCGTTTGTGGCTTTTTACATAAGATACATACCTACCATTTTTTTTTTCCCTGAGCAAAGAACACATCTTTTTGCAAATTGTCAATGCATGAAAAGTGCTGTCTTGAAGCATTTAAAATGAAAATACCGCAGCATGGAATTCATGTATGCACCAAAGTTATTTGGGATTTCTCTTAATTAATCAACTGATTTTATTTCTGCAAACCATTAATGTGCCCATCAGAGTGTCGAGGTGATGCACGTCCTGAAAATGTAAAGACTGTGACAATCTAAAATGTACTACTGGACACACTTGCAGGGTTATTCAATAAACTCAGAATTCTAATGAATTAAATCCGAGTTGTAGAATTTAGGGTAAGATATACGAGCTGTGACTAGAGCCGAGTTGAAGATTGTTTCCTGAGCAGCTGTTTAGCACTTTAGTTACTTAATTTAATTTGCTTATATTCAGAGTTCAGTAAATAATCCTGAAAATAATTATAATAGTTTTGGCTTATAGAGGGTTAAACATTGCTTTTAAAGCATTTTGCTTTATTGGCATGAAGCCCAATTACTTGGAGACAAAAAAGTCTCATTAACAATTTCACTTCCAATTTTTCTTTGTAAGAGAATTTAATTAAGAATTCAAGGAGATTTATTGAAGAGGTCTGAGGAGATAAGAATTTCAAACTCCACCAGATGGAGGTCAGAAACGTAATGTTATGCAAGCTGGCACCATCATGAAGTTGAAAACTAGATTACGCTACTTAAGGCTATTTTTAAACATAAATATGATTAAAGGAGTTTTTAATGATGCCTTTTAAATCTGCTCATACATTTGTCCCTGAGACCTCTGGAACTTTGTAAATTGTGAGCATACTATAATGGTGTTATATCCTGTATATTTCATTTTGTATTTAGCATATTTGATTTTTCTAACATTGTTACATTTTTCAACTGTCTTCACGTAATAAAATTAAGAGAAATATTATGATGATGTTCAAAGAAAAGATAACCTTGCTTTTTTTTTGTGTGTGCAAAAACTATATCCCTTGGGGACTGCGTAAGCTTCTTGATGAGGGTTATCATGTATTTAACTATTAAGGGTCACCTTATTAATCCCAAGAGGTTATGATTTGATTGGTTTGTTCTCTAGGTGATGCTGACGTATGGTTTTAGAAGTAAGGTATTTGCAGAAAAGTTGTATCATAATATAACTACACATAAACTGACCAAACTCGAGTTGCCAATGACAATGTTTTTGTGAGATACTTATCATTGCTGCAAAATATGAAGAAGGGACATGGGACAGCTCATTGAAGTAGTCTGGGTGCAATGTCCCATGTCCTTTAACCCTACAGTGGTAATTATTGCAGTTTCTGAGAAACCGCAATAATTACCTCTGAGGGTTAACTCCTCCTCTAGTGGCTGTCTTCCAGAATCCAAACGGACCTTTGGTATATTATCTGATGCTGGACATCCTCATGCATGAGGACCTCCAGCATCGGATTTCCCCCCCATATTCCTATGGGGAAATCCTAATGCGAGCGCAGCCATTGCCACGCATACGAATTAGGTTTCCCCCGCCGGGTGACGTAGACGGGCGAGGAGTGTTGTCGGAGATGACTGGATTCAGGTGAGTGACTGAAGGTGTTTTATCCACTTCAGCCGAGCGGGAGGGCACGAGGGAGGAGGCACTTTAGGATTCTACAGTGCCAGGAAAACAGGTTTGTTTTCTTGGCATTATAGAATCTCTTTAATCCAAAGTCAACCCATCAATAAGAGGACACATACCTACATTACCAACAATAGAGACATTATAACAAAAAACATCACTCATGGCTTTCTGGACCCTTACTAAGTTTTTGCACTGATATATGTATAATTCATATACTACAGGAGGGCATATAATAAAATCTTTGTCTTTGGGGTTTATTCTTGTTCAATTAATTGTCAGGACCATATATGACCCAACATGCAGTGTTTGGGTAAAACATACAACATAACCGCTAAGCAAAATAGGTATTACTGTGCCGAGCTTAGCGTGGCTGCGTCGATCGAGCGCGGTCACGTGATAGCACATGCAGGGCACGGTTACATTAATTAACCAATTTCTCGCCTACAGTAAATTAGTTATAGTGTACTACTGGGCAGTTGTTTTCATATACTCTCCACACCATGATGAAGTAAGAAGTAGGAAAACATGGTGGATCTAGAAATTATCCTGGCTTTTATTCATTAATGGATTTTGCATGTGAATTCAATTTTCAAGCAATGCAGAAATCTAAGTGTCCTCTGTCATTTCAGAGATCTGTCCACTGCTTAACTACCACATAAAATTCAGCACATACATAGTGATAAAGTTTCCATAGACTGGCAGTCTCATAGACTGATGGTACAGTGGGCCATACTGAAGACCTCAGCACTGACCTCTAATTCCACCTTTGCATCAAGTCAGGTTGTAAAATTTCTGCACAACGAGATCTGCCCTGGCCAACTGTAAATATTATTATTGTGAAGTCTAGGAGCAACAAAAGATACTCCACGAAATGGAAGACAAACTCACAGATTGAGGCAGAAGCACTGTTATCTGTTGTATCTCTCACTACAGGGTTCCAAACTGCTCTAGAGGCATCATCAGCACAAGGCCTTTGCTCTGGGATCATGAAATTAGTCTCCATGGCTGAGCAGCTGCACATAAGCCTCACTTTAACATGTGCAAAGCTTGGGCTGCAGTGGTATAGAGCATGCCACCACTGGACTATGGAGCAGTTAAAATGGAAATATGTTCTCTAAAGTGATAAGTCATGCTTCACTATCTTGTAGTCCGATGGAAGGATCTAGGTATGATAGATGCCAGTAGAACACTAACTTCTGGAGTTCATGAAGAAGGGATAATGGCCTGAGCTGTTTTTCAGGGTTTGAACAAGGCCTTTTTGTTCCAGTGAAGGGTTGACTTAATGCTACAGGATACAAAGACATTTTAGACAACTAGGTGCTTTCAACTTTGAGGTAACAGTTTGGAGAAGGCCATTTACAACTTGCTCACGTCTTTTCACCTGTATGTAATGCAAAATCCATGAACACATGGATTGATGAGTTTGCAGTAGAGCTTCTGGCCTCACTCAGCCTTTGGGATGAATTGGAATGCCGATTGCAAGCCAGACCTTCTCATCCAGTATCAGTGCCAGACATAAAAAATGCTATTTTGGCTAATTTGACACAAATTCCCAAAGGCACAATCCAAAATTTTGTAGAAATCTTTCCTGGCAGAGTGGCAGCTGTTATACCTACAGGGGGGGACTGATACATACATTGCTTAACAATTTGCCCCCTTTGGCCACTTTTTATCCACTTTTTTTTATCCACTCTTTATAGGGAATTTAGTTGAAATTCGTAGGCTGATGGTAATTTTCTATGGGATGCAAATGTCAGAATTACTGATTTTAAAGCAGATAACAGATGCTACCAAATGAAATGTGCTCTTTTAGTTGAAATAACTGTATTTCAGTAGGATTGACATTTAGTAAATGTGAAAATTGCTAATTGATTCCAAATTACATTATTTTAACCAAATGTTGCTTCTTCACAGTAATACTGAAAGTGAATTCAAATTTTAGACCAATATATTCAATTTAAAAAAATTAAGAATACCCTTGCAATTTTGTTCGATAGGGCCCATGATTATTGATTCATATAGTTCAGGTATAGCTTACTGGAACCTCTACATGTTTCTGGATAAAACTAGCCATTCATGTGTGTCTGAGCATTCTACAAAATGTTATTCAACCACAAATGGTTGCCTGTGAAATAATAATGCCAAGGCCAAAAAGAACACCTAACAGCAGCTCAAGAAAAAGTCAGCCTTCTTAAACATTTACTGGTAGAAGTAATTGTGATTTTATATCCGTTACAAAGAATGGTCACATGGTTCCAGTGTAGGAAGGATAAAGCACCTCTTATTTAAAACAAGATAATTAGATGCCTGTATTAATTTACTTTCTTTTACCTGACACACGTTCCTCTGTAATATTGATTATATAACAAGGAATACTGTCGATTTTGCACAGATGTCTGTCATTGGTGTGGTTACTGATTCTACGGTAATTAACTGATCGTCATTTAAATTTATGTTGACAAAATAATCTCATAAATGGAAACAGTGATAATGAATGCATTTAAATCCCTAGATACCAACGGATGAAGCTAGGAAGCACTTTTTTGGGTTTGTCCTGTAGAACAGACACCAGGATTTTTTTCTTCTCATTTGCTGAGTTTTAATTAGCACATCATTAACAGAAATATAATAGCAAACACTAAGCATAAACACCCAGCCGACATAACATTTAAAGAAGAAATGATATGATTAATAGCTTAATTTCAGGAAACAAAATGAGCTTCTAACCTGATATCATACAACAGGACTGTATTATAGGCAGGGTTGTTGTTTTATTAAATCTACATGCTGATGTTCAGTACGTGATGTTCTGTTGCATGTAGACCTCCTGCAGGTGGGACTCCATTTAATTAACACAGATCTTTTGAGGTTTCTCTTTTTATGGACTCATTGATTTCCTTCCTTCATTACATGAATGCTACATACTAGAGGTGTTGCTATGCTAGGTTCCGGAAACAAAATGAACTTGAGCCATTAGCTCTTGATTACCTGTCATGTAGTCTCTTTATTTCTGACATTACAGCCTCTTGGCCAACTTCCAATGCCTGCAAACTTCCTATGGATGATGTCAGGCTGGACGCAAATATGTGAGATTCAAGTCTTTTTTTTTTTTTTTTTAAAACAGGGTTATTTATATTTACTAAATATACATTTTAGTAAAGTGAAAAACCTCCAACTTAGCTGTAGTCATACGTAGGCTATAGTCACATTGTGACATTGTCATCTAGGTTGAAAGAAGACTTAAGTCCATTAAGTCAAACCTTTCAATACATCTTTTTTGTGTTGTTGATCGAAAAGAAGGCAAAACTCCCCCCAAAAAACAAAGAAAAATAATCTGAAGCAATGGCTAACTTTGCCACAAAGAGGGGTAAAAAAAATGTTTTTGACTCTATAATAGCAAACAGATATCTCATTGAATCAACAACTTGTTCACATAAATATAGACAATATATTCTTATTTAATTACTTTTGAAAAAAAAACAAAACACAAGAAAAAGTATTGTGGTCATTTTAGCCGACATGTTGCAGCTCAGATTTAATTCTCTTAAGAATTTAATTCTCTCAAGTATTTTTTAGAAATCTCTGCCTCAGTGAGTGATTTGTTGTTGCGCACTCTATATTGTTGTTATAGGAAGATGATCCAATCTTGCTCCTCAGCCTTTACCCAGAGTGGAACCCTGTAAGAAATCTGACTATTTCACGAGCCTTGCTGATCCCTGACTGATATTCTATCCTACATCCCTCCTTGTATTAGCGGGAGCATTTAATGCCAAAATGGTCAATATCATGTAAATCTGTAAATCTATGTGCCAAACCACTTCAATTACATGATATGCTAGCCAAAGATTTATGCAGGGTTTACTATTTTGTGACTGAGGGTCTGAGGGAGTGATAAGCTAGTCGTTTGTCGTGCCATGCTATGAACAATTATGTAAACTGCAAGTGGCACTTCATAAAAAATAAAATTGTCAAATTATATGTTATGTGTCGGTATATATTGTACTATATTGTAGACAGTTTTATTCACTAACCTTTGAACTGTTGATCACTCATTAGGGATTTGCAAATGTAAAATTGTCAAAATTAATGTGCTGAAAACATAACTCATTAGAAAATTTCCCATTCCCTAAAAAAAAAATATATACTTTTTTTTTTCACAGCGCTATCCTTGGGTACAATGGTACAAGTACAATATAAAGACACGGTACAATATAGAGACAATACAAAATGTGAGAAACAAATACAGGGGTAGATGAGGGCCCTATTCCCATGTGAATTTACAATGTGAGAAATCACAGTTTAGTTGATTACTCTGAGAATGTTTTACATTAAGCTCCACAGCTACCTATTTTAAATAAATTGATTGCATGAATGCAATATATTATAGCTGTTTGTGTTTGCTACTGGTGTTTTGAAATGTGAGATGCATAATGTGTCTGCTTTATGAAGTAATGCCACTAGAGTGTGCTGGTGGTAAGTTTTCTCGAGATTTACATATTTGTGATGCTTGGCTTTACCAGCACACTTTCTGCAGGATAAAGTGACATCAGGGAGACTGATAAAAAAAAATGACATGCTGATCACCAGGAGACAAGGACGATGAACAAGCCAACTGTCAAGATCAGTCTTCAAAGTTGTATCCTTCTTCTTCTGTCTATTCTGAAAAAAATGTGTGTGTTTTCACCTCTTTCATTTGCTGCATTCACAGATATCATACATTTAATAAGTTCCTATTAAAGTATTCTGCACTATTATTTGGGGGGATACATTTAAATCTGTTTAAATCTTGACCATTTTGGGAAACAGTTATTTTTTTGATCAACTTTCTCATAAGTTTAACGAACATGTCTGTTTTATCTTAGACCATAACAATGGGGCTGACATTTGGATGAGGCTGGAAATCTGCACCAAGGTTTTGGCTAGATAAATCAATCTCTGATGGCCACAATGGTTCCTGGTACAGTTTGCTGTGTGCTTTGTCTTTAGGTATTTTTGGGCGCTAGGTCAAGCCTTTGTGGGATGATATATTTTGTAAACGTGCATAATGCCTAGAGGTATTAGTACCTTCACATTCTTAGAAATAAATAATTGTATCTCAATCTCTAAATTAAACTTCAATCAAATACAGGAGGCTCTTGCAGGGTCTAGCAAGCTATTAACATGGCAGGGGATAAGAAAATCTTAATTAAACAGAACTTGCAATAAAGAAAGCCTAAATAGGGCTCTCTTTACAGGAGGTGTTTATGGAAGGCTGTGCAAGTCACATGCAGGGAGGTGTGACTAGGGTTCATAAACAAAGGGATTTAACTCCTAAATGGCAGAGGATTGAGCAGTGAGGCTCTATACACATGTATAGAGCATGTTCTATACACCAAAACTGCTTCATTAAGCTAAAGTTGTTCAGGTGACTATAGTGTCCCTTTAATGCAATTTCATAACTGGCACTGCGTTAAGGTTTAATAAATAGCAGTTTTGGAAATGTTGGTGTCAACTTGCCGTGATGCCAGTCCCTCCCCTCATCCCCCAGGAAGTCATGCTAAAAATCTTTAGAAAAAAAAATTCCTATATATTTTGGATTTGGATTTTAATGTTTCCAGAAATTTCAAACTAAAAAAAAACCCAAAAAACTAAAACATTTACAGTTCTTTCTGTTCAAGCTGATTTGCCATATTTGTAGAGTATAAAGATGTGCTGTTGATACAAAAATATGACTAGATCAGATTAACATGGACAGGAAACTGTCAAATCAAAGGATGAGTTAATCTTAGAAACATTCAGAAAAGATGGAAAAATATAAATTTTATAGCCATATACACCTAGTAAAGGGCCAACTGCAATTCTGACAAACCTCATAACTGTTTATCATAAATGATGTTGCAACTCCAAAAGAACCAGATATTACTCACCTGTTAAGTAAAGACAGAGATTGGATACAAACCTTATCAGGCAATGAATAGCTGCTTTGGGATAAAGGTGAAGTACTAATGATTACAAGATAAAAATCAAAGGGTTCACAAATTGTGGCAAAACAATAGCATAGATGGTGAACATAACAAAGATTAGGCAACACAGGATCTGAATGATAAACAGAAACAAAAGTTAAGAAGAAGGTAATGAACACAGCAGATAATGGAGCAGATGATGGAATCACAGACAGCTGGATAAACCTGGAATCAAATTTACATAACTAGTGAATTGAAAGCAAGGGATTTGGTGGGGTTTTCTGCAGTGGCGGAACTTGTGTAGAGAGGGCCCCGGTGCAAGAATGTAACCCTATGGAACAAATGCAGCTTAGTGGACAGCGCTAGGAGTTAGGCATAGGGGGAAGGCCCCAAGGATTGGGAGTTGGGTTGTAAATAGTATAAATAGGCATCCATTTTAGAAACAGGGACTTTTAATTTTCTTACCTGGCCTAATTTGTGTGCACCCTGTGTCTGCAGATTGGGGCTGGTAGGTGCTTCTGTTATATTTTGCAGGATGGATCCAGTGGAGAAGCTCCAGGCCAGGATGAGAGCAGCAGCGTGGAATCGTGCAGCATGGTTGAAGGATCACCTTGTGACAGTCTGGGCTCAACCTCTGTGGGGGCCTCCTAGTCTGCGCCGGGACCTCAGCTCCACCGGTGCGGCAGGAGCGGAAGCGACTTGTGAGAGCCCAAAGCCCGAACAGCCACGCACGAGGCATGGGGATGAAGCTCCACCCCCGGGGAGTCTGTGGGTGACTGGGGGTGCCGGAGCATTTGGCTGCATTGCTGGTTGGCCAGCAGTGCAGCTCTTCGGTCGGAGGATGGAGGAGGCCGCACTCGGAATGGGCGCCCCTGTGATCGGCAAAAGGGGACCAGGTCTGCCTGGAGTGACGGGACCGTCTTCCGTAAGGGCAGCCCCTGGCAGCGGGAGACAGAGCAGAAGCCTGGCTGCCTCCATATCCATGCGGTGCAAGACTTCAGGAGGAACAGCTCTATTACAGGCAAGTGGCCTAGGGGAGAGTTTTGCAGCTGGCTACCAAGGGGGGTTGGGTGCAGCTTTAGAGACTCCCAGGACTCTAGGTGGGGTTGCAGAGCCTGGAGAATGTCTACGCTAGGGGATGCTGCAGTTCAGGGGCGTACCTAGAGCATTTGGCACCCGGGGCGGATCCTGTGCTTGGCACCCCCCCCCACCCAAAAAAAAAAAACCTGTAAAAAATGTTAAAGGTTTTCTTTCTTTATTTTTACAATTTGTAAACTTTGCAAAACCGCTGTCAGCCCCTCCTACAAAACCCTTGTCCTGCCCTGCCCCTCCTACAAAACCTCTGTCCTGCCCCTTTTACAAATCCTGTACTGCCCCATCTACAAAACCCCCGCAACCCCCTTCCACAAATCCCTGCTTATCCCCCCTTATAAAGACTCCTGTCCCAATACAAAACCCCCGCCCCCTTCTACAAAATCCCTGCAGCCCCACACACACATTTACAGGCAGACAGTCACACACTCAGTTACAGACAGACAGTCTTTTGGTCCACAGACCAGACAGTCCACACACACACATTTCCTCTGTATGCGGCCAGTTTGCTCCGG